ATCCGACAGATCCGCGCGGAGCTCGGAGAGCCTCTGCGTGTGTCGTTTTTGTTGCATCCTCACCGCTCCTCCTCCCCCCTCTGCTCCTCTCTCCTCCTCCTCCTCTCCTCCTCCTCCTCCTCCTCCTCCTCTCCTCCTCTCTCATCATCATCATCATCATCATCATCATCATCATCATCATCATCATCATCATCATCATCATCATCATCATCATCATCATCATCATCAGCATCCTTCCGCCTCCTCCTCCTCCCCCTCCTCCGCCGTCCCCACTCCCTCCATCCCCCCCCTCCAACTGCCTCAACCGTTCCCCCCTCGTCCCACAGCTGGCACCGTCGGCTTTCACCGGTGGAGCACAAAGACAAAAAGCATCCCCTCGTACCTCCTCCCTCGACCTCCCTGCTCCTGGGGAAACCGAAAGGTATTGATGCCGCTACTCCCCAGACCTCTCCCAGGGTGCGTTCTGACCAGAATCTCGAGGCGGATCCAGCAGGGCCTCCCAGGAGGCCGAAAACAGGGAAAACGAGGGAAGGGTAGCGGTATCGGTACCTTTTCCTCCTCTGCGCTCCCCGTGCTCCCCTCGAAGAAAGGAAAACCAGGTGAAAGGCGCCCTGGGACACACAAATAAATAGACGCAAATCCCAGGATTCCCCATGTGTTCCCATAGTTTCTGGGCTTTCGTCTTCCCCCCCATTTCTCATATGTTCCCATATTCTCCTGTGAGTCCACGATTAATTGTGTCTGTGAAGTGTTATCCCTCCTGACAGGTGCCTTCCGAGAAAAACGAGCCGACAGCTCCCGCGGCCCCTCCCCCCTCGGCCGCTCTCGCAGGCCCGTGTGTCGCGCATGCCCGTCCGCCTCTGCCTGTCCCCCTTCCTCCTCCCGCCCATCAGGGAGGGAGGAGGAGAGATGAGGATGAGGAGGAGGAGGAGGAGGAGGAGGAGGAGGAGGAGGAGGAGGAGGAGGAGGAGGAGGAGGAGGAAGGGAGGAGGAGGAGGAGGAGGAGGAGGAGGGGAGAGGAGGAGGAGGAGGAGAGAGAGGAGAGAGGAGAGAGAGAGGAGAGAGGAGGAGAGAGGAGAGAGGAGAGAGGAGAGGGAGAGAGGAGAGAGGAGAGAGGAGAGAGGAGAGAGGAGAGAGGAGAGAGGAGAGAGGAGAGAGGAGAGAGGAGGAGGAGGAGGAGGAGGAGGAGGAGGAGGAGGAAGAGGAGGAGGAAGGCGGCGTTCAGGAAGGTCACGTAGACGAAGAGCAACACATGGGGGGAGGTCACAGGCCCTGCGGGAGCAGTGCTCCTTTCGCTGCAGCGGATCGGGTGGCAGCTCCTCGCTTGGAACCCATTGAAGGACGACAAGGGCCAGGTCATCGAGCTGCAGGTGCTTAGCCCTCGCATGGTGTCCACCCTGATCGAAGCAGAGGTGTACCGCTGTCTGATGAGGGAGGTGGCCAAGCACCCAGGATTCGAAGAGCTGGAAGGCAGAGCGCCAGATATCGAGCCCTTCCGTCTGGCAATGGCCGAGATGCGCCGTGAAGGGAAGTTCGAGGAGGCTGCGCTGCTGGAGACGCACATCACAGGAGGACTGGTGACGCAGAGCGACTTGTACGACGAGCGTGTGGTGACGAGCGCGTCCTGCCAGTGGTCCAAGTACCAGACAGGCACGGCGTACCACCGCCTCTTCGCCCGCCCTGCCATCCAGACCTGGGCGGAGGAGCTGATCTGTAAGAGGGCCGCTGCTGCTGGCTTGGCTGCTGGCGAGAACGACCTCGGGACGGTCCGAGGTATGCCGAGCCTCGGACTGGACGACGTGCCGCCGCCCAGCATGGAGGAGCACTGCCACAGGGCTGGTGTGGTGCGCAGCGACTACTTCACAGGAGTGATCTGCATCGACGGCTCGGCCATGTGCCCAACGGAGTCCAGGCTCACGAGGACGGGCTGTGCCGCGGTGATGGTCGACGACGTTGGACAGGACATCGGTGAGATGTACGGTTGCACGCCTGAGTGGGTTGATGAGATTGGGTATGCTTAGCTATACGCGCTGCGCAGGATACTCCAAGAGGTTGGACCCGAGCCTGTGGTGCTCTACTCGGATTGCAACGGGCTCGTTGGCGACTTCGAGCGTGGCGAAGAGCACTGCTGCGGGGCCATGCACCAGTACGCGGACCTGTGGCGGGAGGCATTCGCCAAGAGGGAGAAGCTCGGCCCACGGTTCCTCAACCTCGGGTGGATGCAGGCCCACACAGGCCGGGCGGAGGCCAGCAGGAGAGGCATCAGCTTCCGGGCCTACGCGGGCAACAAGGAGGCGGACCTGCGGGCGCGCCAGGAGGCGAAGCTGCACCCTCGACAGGAGCTGGAGCGGTGCTGGAGTGAAGCGGCCGCTGCAGCAATACTCTGGTGCCGCCGCCATGGCGGCGTGTTGAGAAAGCATGCTGCCCTAGCCTGGCCCGATCGGGAACAGATCCCAGGACCTCGGGCCCAAAGTTGTCCTCGTCTGGTCCTGGTGCGGCCCGATGCGGGCCATCGGATACTGCGGCTCGGTCGAGCCTGGGGCTGCGAGCTCTGCGGAGTTCGGCGAGCTCCCAGGGCCAGGCCAATCTCGAAGCATTGCCCAGGGCTTCCAGGTTGGCTGCCCAGTCCCACCCGTCCCAGAGGCCTTGGGTGGGTCGGGGTGGGGGGCGACGGGCTTCGAGGGAGGAGGAGGAGGAGGAGGAGGAGGAGGAGGAGGAGGAGGAGGAGGGAGGAGAAGGAGGAGGAGGAGGAGGAGGAGGAGGAGGAGGAGGAGGAGGAGAGGAGGAGGAGGAGGAGGAGGAGGAGGAGGAGGAGGAGGAGGATCCCCCGTGCCCCGTGTCCGGGGCCGCGCGGCGCTGAGCTCCAGGCGTCCAGGCCCGCGCCCGGCCTCTCGTTTTACCCCGACGGGCCCTGGGCTTAATCAAAATCTGAGTTCGCTTGTTTTTTTTACCCCCTCGGACCGACGACAATGCCGATGACAATCGATGACATCTCGGAGCCAATGCGGAGACATTGAACCGTGGTGTGTGTGCATCCCCCTGTGGTCCGATCGACCATTCATATAATTGGGCACAACACACCATTCATATAATTAAAATTTGAGCATCTGATCCCTCGTAGGATTGCAGAGCAGTCCGCCCTTTGTTGGGAACCAGAGGAATCAGAGGGGGAGGAGGAGGAGCGTAATGAGGCGGGAAAGGAGGGAGGGGGCGAAGGGAAAAAAGGAAGGGGGAGGGAGAGCCAGTCCCGCAAGGGCCCTTCCTATGCCCACGTCATCCTGCTCCGTCGCCTTCTCCTCTGCCACTGTTTTCCCTTTCTCTTTCGAGCCGGCGTCAACTCAGTAGGCGCGGGCACCATTGAAGACGCGTCCCGAGGAGGCACGGCTGGTGCAAGAGAACCCAGCATCTCAAAAAGAGCTTGAACTGACATGATTGCTCCTCATGATACTCCTCCGCCGCCTCCTCCTCCTCCTCCGCCTGCCGCACCTCCTCCTCCGCCAGGCCGCCAGGAGACCACGACGACCGGCAGATCCTCGGGAAACCGCGCAAAAACCTTGTCGCCGACGTGATAAACCTGCTTGTTCCCCGACTCGAGGGGCGTCTCCGCCTTCCTCAGGAGCTGCACCTGCCGGCGGGCCGAGAGAGGCCCCGGCGTCGTCCCTCCCTCTGGGAGGCGGGAAGAGCGGGCAGGAGGCCGAGGCAGACGCGGGGAGGGGCGGGGAGGGCAAGAGCGGGCGGGAGGCGGGAGGAGGGGAAGAGGAAGGGAAGAGGAGGGAAGAGAAGCACGGGGGAAGAGGAGGGAAGGAGGGGAAGAGGAAGAGAGGAAGAGGGGAAGAGGAAGGGAAGAGGGCAAGAACGGGGTAAGAACGGGCGGGAAGGGTAAGAGGAGGGGAAGAAGAGGGAGGCGCAGGAAAAGGAGCAGCAGCAGGAGCAGCGGCAGCAGCGGGAGGGCAGGGGCGACGCAGAACGAGAGGGCGGGAGAGGATGCGAGGAGAGGGGGGGGAGCCTGGCGTGGGCAGAAGCGCGCAGGGGATGGCATCAAGATGGCATTCAAGCTGCAGCGGCCGTATACGATCCAATGTTTTGAGGCCCAACCTCGATCGTGCACAAACACATTCGTTGTAGTGGGAAGAGCCCTGTATAGTGGGAGGAGTCCTGATATCCGTCGCCAATATCCGCCAGCGTCCCCTGAGGCACGAGTTGCAGTGCGCCAAGGTCCTTGGCCGAATCCCTCAAGCCTCAGTCCTCAATCCTGAGGATTATTCAACGGACCCAGGCCCCAAAGTCTCTAAGATTCCAGGGCTTCTGGCGTCCTGTCGCGTGACTTTTTCGGGCCCAAGAGGGCCCTAAGACGGGCCACCAGGGCCCCAAGAGGCCGCCCACGTGAGCGTGTTCTTAGTCGGCGATTCGACATTGGGCGGAAGGGGGGAGAAGGGGGGGGTCTCGCCCTGGACCTCTACATAGTGCGACTGGTTGCAGCAGTGCGTCCTGTGGAGGAGGCTTCACCTGCTCGAAACAGGCGCCAAATACAGCCAAGATCTACTCCATGCAGGGGGGGGAGAGGGGTGCGAGGACCCGCGCCGATCGGCAAAACACCGAATAAGAAACGATCACCAGACGGTCCAAGAGGGGCCCGAATCGCCGCACGATTGATCCAAGACGCCCAAGATGGCCCCAAGACGGCCCAAGAAGCCGTCGAAGCGCCCAAAGAGAGCCGCAAGAGTCCTCCTAAGAGGTCCCGAGAGGCCAAGATCATCGATTGCCGTTCGGCTTCTCATTGTCTGGGATATCCTCGACTTTTCGAGCCTCCGACACACCCAAACGGCCCACGGGGCCCCCTGGACTACCCCAAGACGGCCCCAGAGGCGGCCCCAAGAGGGGCCCAACAGGGGGAACACGAACCGAAAATCCGAGCCTTCCGCTACAGAAGGCGCCCAGGAGGCCCCAAGACGGCCCCAAGAGGGCCCAAGGGGCCCCCAAGAGGCCCCCTACGAGGCCCTAAAAGGGCCCCAGAAGGCCCCCAAGAAGCCCCGAGAGGCCCCAAAACAGCCTCCCAGAGGCCTCACAACTCTCCAGGAGGCTTCCGAGAGGCCTCGACGAGATCCAAACGACCAGACAAGAGGCCTCAGACCCACAACCCAGGCACGGTGGCGGGATGGGCCGAAGGACATTAGATCCGCCGCCCCCTGTGGTCTTGCCACAGGGGTGCACGGCGTGCTGGATGTTTCAGGTTTTGGTTTTGGTTCTTTTTCTAAAAGAACTCCCCAGTGGGCTTCGGCCCGTCCCGCCGGCCACCCGCAAGTTTCCGAAAATCCATCTGTCAATGCCTTTGTTGCCCCAACTTGGCCCAAGATGGCCTCCAAGACGGCCAAGATGGCCCAAGATGGCCTCCAAGATGCTTCCAAGACGGCCAAGATGGCCTCCAAGACGGGTAAGATGGCTCCAAGATGCACCCAAGACGGCCCAAGATGGCCTCAAGATGGTCTAAGACGGCCCAAAAGGCCCGCAAAAGGCCTCCAAGACGGCCCAAGAGCCCTCCAAGACGCCCTCCAGGAAGGCCCGAATAGGTTAAAATCATTGATTTTCCTTAGGTTTTTGAAGGATTTTGGCATGTTCTTCTTTTCAGCTCTCCGACGGCCCAAGACGGCCCAAGAGGTCCCCAACATCGCCCCAACAGCACCCAAGAGGCCTCCAAGATGGCCCCATGACGGCCCAAGAGGCCCCCAAGAAGGCCCCAAGAGGGCCTCAAGACGGCCCAAGAGGCCTCCAAGACGCCCAAGATGGCCTCCAAGACGGCCAAGATGGCCCAAGATGGCCTCCAAGATGCCTCCAAGACGGCCAAGATGGCCTCCAAGACGGGTAAGATGGCTCCAAGATGCACCCAAGACGGTCCAAGATGGCCTCAAGATGGTCTAAGACGGCCCAAAAGGCCAGCAAAAGGCCTCCAAGACGGCCCAAGAGCCCTCCAAGACGCCCTCCAGGAAGGCCCGAATAGGTTAAAATCATTGATATTCCTTAGGTTTTTCAAGGATTTTGGCATGTTCTTCTTTTCAGCTCTCCGACGGCCCCAGACGGCCCCAAAGACAGCCCCAAGACGGCCCGGCAGATCTCCCAAACGCCCACGCTGGCGTCCACTACGGCCACGATAAACCCAAGTGAGGCCACAGAGAGGCCCCCAACCCAGCCCAGACGGCGTCAGGCAGAACAGGAAGGCCGCAAGGCATCCAAAGAGGCCCCCAAGATGCTTCCAAGACCGCACATGTGGCCCAATATAAACCCAGAGTAGCCAAAAAGGCACTCAAGAGACCTCCTCCTCCATTCCCCCCTTCCTATCTCTCCTCTCCTCCCCGTCCTCCCCCACGTGTTCCCCGAAGGCTGTAAAGACCGATTCGGGGAACATATGGCCCAATAACTTGGCAGACCTCTGGCCACAGCAGTCGGCCGCATCGGCGCTTCCGAAAGGGCAGGGGGCGGCGGTGATTCGCCGTAGGCGTCTTCGATCCGCCGCCCCCTGTTGATTCATCACAGGGGTGCCTGGCGTGCTGAACCCTCTAGGTTTTGGTTGTGGTTCTTTTTCCAAAAGAACTCCCCCTGGGGCTTCGGCCCGTCCCGCCGGCCACCCGGAAGGCGCTCAATTCCCCAATATCGTCGGCTTTTTCGCTCAAGATGGCCGAAGATGGCCTCCAAGATGCCTCCAAGACGGCCAAGATGACCTCCAAGGCGGCTAAGATGGCCCCAAGACGGCCCAAGACGGCCCAAGATGCACCCAAGACCGCCTAAGATGGCCTCAAGATAGCCCAAAACGGCCCAAGAGGCTCCCAAGAGGCCTCCAAGATGGCCCAAGACACCCCCAAGAGGCCTCCAAGACGGCCTAAGAGGCCTCCAAGAGGTCCTCCAGGAAGGCCCGAAGAGGCCAAAATCATTGGTTTTCCTTAGGTTTTTGGAAGGATTTTGGTATTTGCGCCTTTTCGGCTTTCCGACGATCCAAGACGGCCCAAGAGGCCCCCAAGGTCGCCCCAAGATCGCTCAAGAGGCCTCCAAGATGGCCCCATGACAGCCCTAGAGGCCCCCAAGACGGCCCCAAGAGGGCGCCAAGACGGCCCAAGAGGCCTCGAAGACGCCCAAGATGGCCTCTAAGACGGCCCTGGAGCACCCCAAGAGGGCCCCAAGTCGGCCCAGAAAGGCCCCCCAAGCGGCTTCCGACGGCTTCAGACGGGCCAGGAGCCCACCAAGATGGCCGAAGGTGGCTCGCAGCTAGCCCAAAACGGCCCGAGGCCTCCAAGAGGGCCTCCAGGAAGGCCAAAAAAGGCCAACAAGAGTGATTTCCCGCAGGTTTTTGAAGAATTTTGACATTTGCTTTGTTTCGGCCTTCCGACGGCCCGATACGGCCCAAGAGCCCCCAAAGATCGCCCAAGGATCGCCCAAGAGGCCTCCAAGATGGCCCCAGAACGGCCCAAGAGGCGCCCAAGACGGCCCCAAGAGGCCCCCAAGACGGCCGAAGAGGCCTCCAAGACGCTCAAGATGGCCTCCAAGACGGCCCAAGAGCCCTCCAAGACGTCCTCCAAGAAGGCCCGAAAGGGTCAAAATGGCCCCAGGCGGCCAAGATGACCTTCAAGATGCCCACGTGTTCCCTGGAGGCTTTCCAAACCGACTCGGGGAACACATGGTCCGATAGCTTGGCAGGTCTGGCCTCAACGTTCGGCCACATAGGCGCTTCCCAAAAAGGCAGGGGGTGGCGTTGATTCGCCGCAGGCGTCTTCCATCCGCCGCCCCCTGTCGATTCATCACAGGGGTGCCTGGCGCGCTGAACTTCTTACGGTTTTGGTTTTGGCTCTTTTTCCTAAAAAACTCCCCCTGGGGCTCCAGCGCGTTCCGCCGGCCACCCAGAAGACCCGGTTGCCAACGCCAAAAACGGCCGACTCGCTCGGGACATCCTCAAAAAATCGCGAAGATGGCCCAAGATGGCCTCCAAGTCCGCCCAAGATGGTCTAAGACAGCCTCCAAGACGACCCAAGACAGTCCAAGACGGCCCAAGACTGCCCAAGAGGCCCCCCACAGGCCTCCAAGACAGCCCAAGAGGCCCCCAAGAGGTCCTCCAGGAGGGCCCGAAGAGGCCAAAATCATTGATTTCCAATTGGTTTTTGAAGGATTTTGACATGTGCTTCTTCTCGGCATTCCGACGGCTCAAGACGGCCCAAGAGGCCCCCAAGATCGCCCAAGAGGCCCCCAAGAGGGCCCTATGACGGCACAAGTGGCCTCCAAGACGGCCCCAAGAGGGCCCCAAGACGGCCCACGAGGCCTCCAACACTCCCAAAATGGCCTCCAAGACGCCCAAGATGGCCTCCACGACGGCCTCGAAGCGCCCCAAAGAGGGCCCCAAGTCGGCTCCGGACGGCGTCAGACGTGCCAGGAAACCAGCAAGATCGCCGAAGTTGGCTCGAAGCTGGCCCAAGACGGCCTCTTCTGGCCAAAAACATTGACATTTGCTTATTTTCGGCCTTCCGACGGCTCGAGACGGCCCAAGAGCCCCCAAAGATCGCCGAAAGATCGCCCAAAAGGCCTCCAAGATGGCCCCAGAACGGCCCAAGAGGGCCCCAAGACGGCCCCAAGAGGCCCCCAAGACGGCCCAAGAGGCCTTAAGACGCCCAAGATGGCGTCTAAGACGGCCCTGGAGCATTCCAAGAGGGCACCAAGTCGGCCCATAGAGACCCCCCCCAAACGGCTTCCGACGGCGCCAGACGGACCAGGAGCCCACCAAGACCGCCGAACATGGCCGTAAGATGGCCCAAGACGGCCCAAGAGGCCTCCAAGAGGGCCTCCAGAAGGCCCGAAAAGGCCAAAATCATTGATGTCCCATGGGTGTTTGAAGGATTGTGGCATTTGCTTTCTTTCTGCCTTCAGACGGCCGGCAAGGGCGCGTGGACTGGCAGAAACCATAGGCTGAAACAGTTCTGCAGCGGCGGGCATCTTAGCATACCGATGCGCTGCCCCAGCCCCTCGAAGTCGGCCTACTGCTTCCAAGCAAAATACCGCACATGCATACCTGCCTTGGCTTTGGCCTCTGCCCCCTGTAGAACGCGGTCGATGACCTCCTCGAACTCGCCCAACGCCAGCGCGCCAAAACAAGCCAAGAAAAACCTCTGCACATCCACGGGCAACTCCTTAAGCACCGAAGTTTGCGAAGCCACCCTGCGCGAGAAAAGCACCGCCTCCTTCACTACATTGACAATATAACCACACTGCGCAGAAGAAATGGGGCACATCACGCGCGACGCTTGCATATCTTTGCAATGCCGAGCAAGATGCCCCTGCGCATTACGAAGGTGAGTGCCCCATCGCGCCGCCACCTGCCAGCAATGAGCGGCCCTGTCCGCGCAGTTGCGCTTCTGCGGCGGCCGCCACTGGAGCTGCCCCCACTTCCATTAAACAGAACCTCCACGCCCGACGTGCTTACGAGAATTAGCTCCACACAGATGCCACCTCGCTGCAAGCTCCTTCTCCAGCAAAGTGACCACATAATCCCAAGCCTGAGTAAGCTGCGCAGGCTCATCAGCAGCAGCAACTTGGGCCGCCAGATCTCGCCAAGCATGCCCGTTGGGAAAATAAGCGCAGCCCACGGGTGGGGTAGCTGGGAAACCCCGCGGCCCTTCCAGCACTCGCCGCCAGGTGGGGACATCGTTAACCATCGCAGGAAAGTGAACCGGATAATGCGCAGAGGTCGCTGCATCCCCCTGCAGCGCAGGAGGCCCAAAACGAGGCAGTAGATTGCACGCCACCAACGCGTAATCATACACCGTGCCTAGCACTCTCTTGGCCCAGGTAGGCCCGTCTGTAAAGACCAGCTGACCGTGCACTTGAGAGAACCGCGGATCTCCCCAACACTGCGGCTCGAAATTCCAGCCCCCAAGCGCAATCCAATCCAGACCCATAAGATTGAGAAACCCGAGACAACGGCAGATGCCGAGCACCAATGCGATATTATCTTCGCTGAGGCCCTCGGTGCCACGCATGTAAACGCTCATCGCGATAATACCTTCAGCCACTCCCCAGTGCAGGTGTGCCGCCACAAACTGCACTCAGGAAGCTGAACTCGCGCAAGAAAGGGCGCCTTTGTCACCGCCACATCAGTCGGAGTCAAGAAGGCCACTCCGCCACTGGCGCCGCCAGCCTCGGTCTCCTCAGCCTCAGTCCAGCACCCGTGGTAGCCGAGATCCGGCGCCCGCCGACGAACCGAATGAGGACCGTCACATCCACTGTGATGTTCTCGTACTGCGAATACTTTGCCCCGAGGGGCATGAGAAAGAAAGTCAATGAGGGTGCCAGCGCCCGTAAAATTGACCGTCGCGATCTCTCCTTTGACCTGGGAAGTGCCACCATCCTGCGTATATCGATGCAGTGCAGCCCCATGCTTTACTGTGGCCGTAGCCGACGACGTTGACCGTCTGCCCCCAGAAGCCGAACCAGCACAAAGATGCGCAGCCGGCCCAGCCGATGGCGCCGAGGAAGGTCCAGAGCACCCAGTTCGCGTTCCTCTCCCGAGATCCTCGGTCTCGGCCACAGTCGCGTGATCTGTGCAGCCAAGCCAAGGGAAGAGGCAATACCACACACTCCCACTATCCGTGAAACTGGCACCGTCAAGGTGTCCCCAGAAGTCGCTCCTCCCCCGAGATCCTCGGTCTCGGCCACAGTCGCATGATCTGCGCCACCGAGCCTTCCAAGGCAAGAGGCAATACTACACACATCCACTGTCCGTGAAGCGGGCGCCGTAAAAGTGCACCCCGATGGCAAACCCGTAGCACCAGCAGAAATTGCCAGAGTGGCCGCCACACCAATCGTATTGGACATCATCATGGCGTACAAGAGAAAGGCACGTACCACTCTAGAACAGCATGTCATACTCCACTCAATCCCACGGACTGTACCGAGAGACCCCCGTGTGAAGAATGTTGGCCGCCGCACGTAACTTGCAGGCACAGGAGACTCTGGAGAACAGATACCAGCTTCCAGAAACAAGGCACGCACATCAGCATCTTCGGCATGTCGTAGCGAAGGACGTGGCGGCGCAGCAGGAAAAGGGGTAGCAGGTTCAGGGCTTGCAAGAAGTTGCCCCCCGCCTGGCGCTTCACCCCGAGGAGGCCCCGCTGCATCTTGTCCCGCTGGCGGCGGCCCTGCCCCCACCAAGGACAGCACCTCCTCTTCTTCGACGATCTGCGCAAGCAGCTCGGCCTGGATGCCGTGCTTCTTGAGTACCTGCTCCAGCGCCTCCACCGTGAACACTTTTCCTTGGCCCTCTCCGCCTGTGCCAGGACGCCCTTGACCATCCCGAGTAGGCTGCAGGGGCTTCTTGGCCAGTTCCAATATCTTGGCCTCGAGCTCCACTTGTTGCACGCGAAGCTGGGCCAGTAACTCCTCGTCCACCTTGCCAGCCTCCTGAAGCTGACGAATAGCATCCGCACGCTCCTCCACTTGGCCCTCAATCCTGGCAATACGCCCTTCAAGTTGATGAATACGTTTGTTGACCTCCTGAATGTGGATCCCCACAGGTTTCTGTTTGCGCTTCTGCGCCAACATCACATCTCGCTCTTTGACGATAGTAGCCCGCGCTTCAGCCAGTTCTGGAATCTCTCGAACCAGTGACCCAGGAAATTTTTGCAACTCACTTTCCAAAATCGTAAGCCTGTCATCAGCACTGGCAAGGCCATCACCTGGAACAGCCCCACCATTACCGTCAGGAGCACCGCCCCTGCCCATATCATCATCAGGAAGACCGTTACCACGTCCAGCTTCTCGCAGTCGCGTCTGAAGTTGCTCAATCTGCTTTTCCAGTCGACGATAGCGGTCCTGCTCCCATAACGAAGGCTCCCTCCCCGCCCCAGCCTTGGCTCGAGCACTGTGCGACGGAGCCACCCCCGTTGTTGTCTTGTTGCCCCCAAAGCACACCCCCTTTTATGCAATTTGCACTGCACACAAGGAAGATGCACCAAATGATTACATAACTTCTTGCCCTTTCTCGGACCCCATGCACGCATGCACGACTTGCAATACCAATCCTGTCGCTGATTCTTCCTATCCTGCGCAGTGCCTCCCATCCTCTCGACGGCAGCGCACGAGCACCCAGAACTGATCGTATAGTCGTGATGTAAACTGTGAAAGCACAGGCGGGCACCTGGGCTCCAAGGGGAATGTACAGTAGAAGGGCCTGGTCAAACCAGGAAAGCAGTCGAGGGCCGTGGATCCCTCCTGCCAAAGATAGCTCCTGCCGCTATGGTCCTGAACCAAACGGCTTGAGCCAAAATGGCTACGGACCACCTCTTCCTCCTCCTTCTCCTCCTCCTCGTCCTCCACCTGCCGCCTCCTCCTCCTCCTTGCCCTCCCCCCCTCCCAATTCCACCCGACCAAGCCTCGGTGACGCTCGTGAGCGGCTCGTTGTCGTCCGGCTCGTCCCACGACATGAGATACTTGCCTCCGTCCTGGATCTCTAGCAGGATGCCCGGGTACACCTGGTTGCTATCCTTTTTCCCATCGTCATTACCTTCGGCAGCATCAGTATCACCAGCATCAACAGCATCGTCATCGTCAGTGTAAGCATCTGCACATCACCATCTTCATCATCAGCATCATCACCACCACCACCATCATCAGCAGCAGCAACATCATCATCATCATCATCATCATCATCATCATCATCATCATCATCATCATCATCGTCATCGTCATCAGCGTCATCAACAGCATCATCACCATCATCATCATCATCATCGTCATCATCAGCATCATCAGCAGCATCATCGTCATCATCAGCATCATCAGCATCATCATCACCATCACCATCACCATCACCATCATCATCATCATCATCATCATCATCATCATCATCATCATCATCATCATCATCATCATCATCATCATCATCATCATCATCATCGTCATCGTCATCAGCGTCATCAACAGCATCATCACCATCATCATCGACATCATCGTCATCATCCTCATGGGTCATCACTCGTGGTCATCATTCCCTTCATCGTCACCATCGACACAGTAATCCACCGACCCCCCGCTTGCCAGGAGTGAAAAAGGGCGTTTGAAGTGACTGCCTGCCAGCCCTCCCCATTTCCCTCTCCCCTATGTCCCAAATCCTGTCAGATGGAAGAGGGGCCGGAGAACGAGCTCGTCACCGCACCCTCGGGGCCCTCGGACCCTCCAAATCAACTCCGTGGCGGCCAAGATGCCCAGGATTCGTCCTAAGATGGCTCCAAGAGGACTCCAACACGCCAGAGAGGCCTCAAGAACGCCCAAGATAGCCTCAAGACGGCCCAAGACGCCGAAAGAGAGCCCCAAGAGGCCCCCAGAAGGGCCTCCAGAGGCAAAAATCATTGATGGCGCTCACGTTTTGGAATGAGTTGAGCGTTCTTACCTTTTCGGCCATCTGCAAGCCCAAAACGGTGCGAGAGGACCTCCAGGCTGGCCCGCGACAGCCCAAGAGGGCCTCAACACGACCAATACGCCTCCGAGACGGTAAAAAAACCCTCAAGAGGCCCCAAGAGAGGCCCAAGACAGGCACAAAAGGGGGAACCCGCAGGGATCCCAAGAGCCCTCCCCCGCAAGATAGCTTCCACGACCCCAACATGACCCCAAGAAGCCCCCCCAAGGCTCCAAAGAGCCCCCTGTGAGCCCTGAAAAAGCTCCAAGAGGCCGCCCCCTAGGCCTTCAAGAGGCCCCCCAAAGAAGCGCCGCAACAGACACGGAGGAAGAGCAGGCACACAGGCCGCGAGACTAGAAGCGGCAAAACTGCAAACGACGTCGGAAGCCGCGCATGCCTTCTTCTGCAGGTTGGCGGAATTGCGTGAGCCTCCTGCATACGCATCAACATCATCATCGTCATCATCATCATCATCATCATCATCATCATCATCATCATCATCATCATCATCATCATCATCAATAACATCATCATCACAATTACCATCATCATCACCAACACCACCATCACCTTCATAATCACCAACATCATCATCATCATCATCATCATCATCATCATCATCAGCATCATCATCAGCAGCATCATCGTCATCATCAGCATCATCATCATAATCAGCATCATCATCATCATCAGCATCATCAGCATCATCATCAGCACCATCATCATCAGTATCATCATCGTCGCCATCATCCTTATCAGCATCATCATCATCGTCATCATCATCGTCATTAGCATCATCATCATCCTCATCAGCAGCATCATCATCATCATTAGCATCATCATCATCATCATCATCACCACCATCATCATCATCATCATCATCATCATCATCAGCAGCATCATCATCACCATCACCATCACCATCACCATCATCATCATCATCATCATCATCATCACCACCACCACCACCATCATCATCATCATCATCATCATCATCATCATCATCATCATCATCATCATCATCATCATCATCATCATCATCATCATCATCATCATCATCATCATCGTCATCCTTATCCTCCTCGTCGTCGTCAGCGTCGTCGTCGTGGTCGTGGTCGTGGTTGGCGTCACCAACACCGTCACCGTCACTGTCATCGTCATCGTCACCGTCATCAGATTCGTCGTGCCTCCTCCTTATCATCATCCGCCTCCTCCTCCTCCTCCTCCTCCTCCGCCTCCTCTTCCTCTTCCTCCTACTCCTTCTTACGCTGCTTCCTCCTCCTCCTCCTCCTCCTCCTCCTCCTCCTCCGCCTCCTCCTCCTCCTCCGTCATCCTCCCTCCCACTCCTCCCCTCTGGTCACATGCGAGGGAGTCGAGGGAAGCAGGAAGGAAGAGGAGGAGGAGGAGGAGGAGGAGGAGGGGAGCAGAATCAAAGAGGACTACGACAAGGAGGAGGAGAATGCAGGAAAACGACGAGGAGCAAGAAGGCAGAGGAAAGAGGAAGAGGCAGAAGGAGAGGGAGGGAAGAAAGGGGAAGGATGATGGAGGCAGGAGGGCAGAAGAAGGAGAGAGGATGTATGTGCACAGGTACACCAGGAAGAGAAAAGAAAGGAAGGTAGACGTACGAAGTAGAGGAGGAATAGGAGGAAGACGGATGACGACGACGAGGAATAAGGAGATGGAAAAAGGAGGACGGGAAGGAACGAAGACGACGACGAGGAGCAAGGAGGAGTAGGATCAGAAAGCAGGAGAGGGATGGAAGATGCGCTGCGTCCATATGGCAAAATCGATCTCTTGCTCTACGAAAGCTTGCTTAAGGATGGAGGATCTCGTCTTGCCAAGCAAGAAACACTGGAAGAGCAACGGGCCCCGTCTGAACTTAACAGCGCGCGTTTCTTCGAAACCCTAATGTACAACAGGAGGGAGGAGAAAAAGAAGATGAGGAGGAGCGGCTACGTGGAGGGGGGAAGAGGAAGAGGAGGCGACGCAAAGGGCAGGAGCGCTTCGAGAATTCCCCACACAGTCTAGCGCTCACCTGGTGCAATACGACACTGGCTGGGTGTTCTGGGTTTTCGCCTGGTGGGCACCCACGGGCGTCTCGTGAGCGCCTTGCGTTGGCTGGACGCACCAGGTTTTCGTCCAATGGATCCCAGTAGAACGTACACCCTGCGAAATGCTTAAGAAATCATGGGTCAAGAAATTCATAGTCTCAGAACTTGAATAAAACCCCAACATTTCTATCAAAATCTTGGGATTCACATGGAAACGTCAAGAATAATCGAGACTCTGGCCGAAAGTTTAAGTTTTCTTAAGCATCGCCTAAGGCGTAGCGTGCACCGAGAGAGATCCGCCACCGTGCCGCTGGGCGCGGAGCGGACTGCCCAATCCTCTGAGCCTCGGTCCTCGCTCCCGGGGAGCCTTCCAGGGGCCCAGACTGATTACCTCCTCCTCCTCCTCCTCCTCCTCCTCCTCTTCCTCCTTCTCCTCCACCTCCTCCTCCTCCTCCTCCTCCTCCTCCTCTCCTCCTCCTCCTCCTCCTCCTCCTCCTCCTCCTCCTCCTCCTCCTCCTCCTCCTCCTCCTCCTCCTCCTCCTCCTCCTCCTCCCTCGCTTTCTTCCCCCGCGTCGGCGGCGGCGTGTCGGGGACTTGCCGCGGCTTGTCGCGCGACTTCCTCGGGCCTCCAAGAGGCTTCCGGGAGGCCTCCCAGGAGGGCCCCAAGAGGCAAAAAACATAGATTGCCCCTCGGTGTCTGAAGCACGTCAGCCGTCTCGCCCCCTCGGCCCCCCGACGCCCCACGACGGCCCAGGAGGCCCCCGGGAGGGCCCCTAAGCCCAAGAAGGCCCCAAGACGGCACAAAAAAGGCGCCCAAAGACGGCCCCCAAGAGGGTCCCAGGACGGACCCAGCAGGCGGCCCAGATTGGGGGATCCGAGCGACATTTCGCCCTCAGCGCCGAAGGGCCCCCAGGAGGCCCCTAAGAGGCTCTGAGAGGCCCCTAAGAGGCCCCCCTAAGAGGCCCTAAGAGGCCCCCAGAGGAGGCCCCAAGAGGCCCCTGAAAGGCCCCCAAGAGGCCCCCAAGAGGCCCCAAGAGGCCTCCAAAGACCCCAAGAAGCCCCCCAAGGGGCCCCAAAACTGCACCCAAAAGGCAGCCGGAAAGCGCTCCGACGAGACCCGACGAAGTACCTCGAAAACTCATTTCGGATTTGGTCTTGGTTCTTTTTCCAAAAGAACTCCCCGTGGGGCTCCGGCGCGTCCCGCCGGGGTCCTGGGAGGATTGCCCAGAGGTGGTTGCAAAGCATTTTTCCTGCTCCAGAAGGCTCCAAGACGGCCCAAGATGGCCTCCAAGACGGCTAAGATGGCCCCAAGATGCCTCCAAGACGGCCCAAGATGCACCCAAGACGGCCTCAGATGGCCCCAAGACGGCCCAAGACGGCCCAAGAGGCCCCCAAGAGGCCTCCAAGACAGCCCAAGAGGCCTCCAAGAGGTCCTCCAGGAGGGCCCGAAGAGGCCAAAATCACTGATTTTCCAAAAAGGTGTTTGAAGGATTTTGGCATTCGCTTCTTCTCGGCTTTCCGACGACCCAAGACGGCCCAAGAGGCCCCCAAGATCGCCCCCACAGCGCCCAAGAGGCCTCCAAGATGGCCTCAGGACTGCCCAAGAGGCCCCCAAGACGGCCCCAAGAGTGCACAAAGACGACCCAAGAGGCCTCCAAGACGCCCAAGATGGCCTCCAAGACGGCCCTGGAGCACCTCAAGAGGGCCCCAAGTCGGCCCAGAAAGGCCCCCCAAATGGCTTCCGACGGTGTCCGTCGGGCCAGGAGCCCACCAAGATGGCCGAAGTTGGCTCGAAGCTGGCCCAAGACGGCCCAAGAGGCCTCCAAGAAGGCCTCCAGGAAGGCCAGAAAAGGCCAAAAACACTTACTGTTCCTGACATTTGCCATTTTTCGGCCTTCAGACGGCCCGATACTGCCCAAGAGGCCCCAAAGATCGCCTAAAGATCGCCCAAGATGCCTCCAAGATGGGCCCAGAACGGCCCAAGAGGCCCCCAAGACGGCCCCAAGAGACCCCCAAGACGGCCCAG